CCTGTTTCTTTGTACCCTAAATCTTTGTATGTGACTGCCATATCCCACGTGACTGCTAGTTCCTTGGGATGTATAAAAACCATCTGAATTTTAAAATAAATTGTCCTGTTGGGAAGACACAGGTCCCAGAGTTTATGACTCTGTCACCAATCAGACCCTCTGTCCCGAAGGCAGTAGGTCCCCTGCTAAGCAAAGCAAACCTGAGTCCTGACAAAATGACACACACTTCTCTTAGGAAATTTATTAGAAAAATAAAATGAAATACTGTTTTGCACCTTAAGTTGAAGTACTCCTCCTCTCCCTCTAACCAAGCCCGACAGAGCTCTTCTCCACCACAAATTCAGTCGTGTGTGATGTTGCAGGGATTTTGTTTGCTTGTTTTACTTTGTTTTTGTTGTTGTTACAGTACTAAAGCACAATGCCTCACATATATTGGGCAGGCACCCAACAACCATGCTCTGCCTCTCCTAAGTTGCCCAGGGCAGCCTTGAGCTTGCTCTGCAGCCCAGAGAGCAATTAAACTTTCTGTCCTTCTGCTTCAGCCACTGGCATTTACAGACTTGCAGCACCAGGCCAGGCTTGAATACTGCAGTTTTTAAAACCCACAAATTAATTTTCAAATAATACACAGGAGAAGGAAGTGGGTTCTGGGAAGGCCTGGTCTGGGCTCTCCTCACTCTCTCATAAGCCAGTGTGGCCCTAATCGAAGTTCTCCCATCTCTACCACCTGTAACTAGATAGGGGGAGCAGGGAAACGTGGTTTATCCAGGGAGCAGATTCCTGAGGACCAGGGCAGTCTGGAAGAAAGAGGCTGATGGCTGAGGTCACTCTGGATGATTTCCAGGTGATCCTGAAGGAGCCGGATTTGCTCATCCAGGCTGAGCTGCTGGGACAGGATCTTGGCCTTGGTGGCCAGTAGCATGCAGTAGGAGTGCAGATGCTCTTTGGACAGCGCCTGTTCCAACACCTCCCGCAGAGCACGTTCCCTTCGAGCCACATGCTCCTTCAAATCCTTAGTATCTTCCTGCTGCCGCTGCAGAAGGCGGAGTCTCTGAAGCAGAGAGGCCTGAAGCCACAGAAAAGGGGCGCCATGAGCATCTCGGCTCCTAGGATGGTTCCTGCCCCTCTCTGCCCAGCTCTCCCCACCAGCCTCAACCTCTTTTACCCGCTCCTCAGGGTCACTGTCTGAGCTTGTCTTGGCCAAGGCGAAGTGTACACGAGCCAGGCGGCTGCCCAGCAGCAGCAATAAACCAAGCACGCGCTCTAGGTCAGTGATGAACCTGCTGAACCGCTCTAGCTCCCTGGACGCACAGGCCTGGCTCACTGCAGCCTCCAGAGCTGCCTTTAATCCTGCCCAGGCTGCAGCAGTCCCCTGCAGCCGCTCCTGCTCAGCATGAAGATCCCGCAGCATCTTTTGGAGAATGCTGGCTAGTTCCACCTGTAGGGAGGGCCTGGATATTCAAGGCCAGGACCAGCCAAAAATTCTTCACCCAGATGTGAAGTTCCCGCCCCACCCAGCTTTCGTCAGCCCCTCCATGCTCACTTTCTTGGCCTCAATGCTGTGGTTTGGTGCCTGGAGCCCGTGGCCACTTGGCTGGTCAGGCATAGGGTCCAGAGTAGAGTTTTCAGACCTTGGCACCTCCCCAGAAGTTGGCAGTTGCTGGATGAGGCGGCATCCATGGGACCTGAGGACAAAGTTAGACGTCTGTGGGTTTCCCTAGCCCAGATTGCAGAGACAATCCTGAGTCCCTGTTACTCACCCTGCCTCAGAAGCACCAACAGCATCCTCTCCAGTATCTTCTCCAGCATCCTGTCCAGCCTCCTCACAAGTTGGCCTCACTGCAGCCCATACCTCTATGGATGGAATCAACCCATCTAGCAGGCCCAGAGGCAGCTCTGGACTGGACTGTGAGGCAAGAGTGTCACTCAAAGAGGGATCCAGCCTGGCCAGCTCCTGAACCAACTCCTCAAAATGCTGACTAGGCCAGGCTGGCTTGGAGTCAGTCTGACTAGTGCCTTTGGTCAAGGAAGTATAGTGAGGGCCCCCTGGAGTACCAGTACCATAGTCTGCAGACTGAGGGGCACAGACTGAGGGAGGCTTGAGGGGGTCATTCTTTGTAGCTGCAGAGGGGTCGGCAGTCAGCAGACCAGTGGGGTCAGTGGTTGTGTTGTCACCATTTGCAGTTCCAGGAGGGCCACAACTTGGGGGACTGGAGACACCCACAGAAGTGTTTGCCCCTTGCCAGTAATCATCTGCCCCTGTAGTTCCTGAGCATTCATGGAAGGGGCACTCTGCAGAGACTGTAGCCTGGCCAGCCTTTTGGCTTAAGCCATTTTCAAACTGTCCATCAGACACCTGGGGCATCCTGGAAGCAGAAGATACTGAATCAGAAAAGGCTGTGACACTGACAAGTGATGGCTTTCGAGGGTCAACTACCCCCCGCCCCATCGCCATCACCTGGCATGCCCCAAGAGGGAGGGAGTTCCCTGTCCCTCTGGCATTTTCTAGATGTATATGTGTGAAGGAAGTATCTTCCAGGACTTGGCAGCAAGAGGGAATTCACTTGGTTGGGAGCCCCTGGGGTGCATAGGAATCTTGAGGTGACTTCATCCTGTCCAGCAGGGCTTCCTCCAAAAACACATCATCATCAGGGAGGGAGGGGAGCCCAGTGGACACCATGTGTCTCAGAGGCCCTGTGCTTACAGCTAGCTGAGCTGCTTCGGGGACCCTCTGCAGGGCACACTACTGCAACCTTCTGGGAGTCAAGAGCTTAGAGGCAGGAACTCCACACTGACCACAGCAACCAGGAAGAGTCTTCCTGCTGCACCAGGGAAACAGTAGGGTGTGCAGTTTGCAAAAGACAGTCAGAAGGCTCACACTAAAGGTAGGTAGACTGTCCTATGATGCTTCCTTTTCATTGTCAACTTGACTGGCTTTGGAATAACCTGGGAGACACCTCTAGGGGCATCTGCGAAGGTGTTTCCACAGAGTTTAACCTGAGGAAGGAAAACCCCACCTGCATGTGGTATCATTCTATGGACAGGTATCCTGGGCTGAATAAAAGAGAGAAGGGAAAAGCCGGGTGTGGTGGCACACACCTTTAGTCCCAGCACTCGGGAGGCAGAGGCAGGCGGAGCTCTGTTAGTTTAAGGCCAGCCTGGTCTACCTGGCGAATTCCAGGACAGCTGGGGCTACAGGAAGACCCTGTCTCAAAGAGACCAAAATGAAAAAAATCAATCAAAGAAGAAGAAAGAGTACATGAAGTTATTAGAAAAAGTCCGACATGGGTGCACTTACCAACATGCAGACCATAGACACATACACATAAATTAAAAATAATAAATTAAAAATTTTTTTAAAAAAAGGAGAAAGGGATCTGAGCACCAGCATGCATCTCTCTCTGCTTCCTGAGTGCAGGTGCCATGTGACCAGCTGCCTCACGGTGAGTCCCTGCATCCACACACCTTCCCTGCAACAAAGCACTCTATCCTCTCAAACCAAAGTATTTCCTATATAAGTTGTCTTTTTGTCAGATATTTGGTGCCAACAAACAGAAAGCAAGGAATACAGTCCCCATAGCTCTTTTCTGAGCGAGAACTGTGCAAGTTGCCTCTGGACAACGTTATCCCAGAGTGCCCCAAGTCTCTCACCTGGGAAGCTTAGTCTGAGGCAGTGGTCCGGGGGTTTCTGCTCTTGGAGGAACATCCTGGAAAGGTGAACAGTAAGACTGAAATTTTGCGGTCTCCCAGGTGCTCCCCTCCCCCACCAGCCTGGGTCTTCTACCTTCCTTTCCTACCTGGATAGTGACCACAGTCCTTTCTGAACCTCTGCAGGGACCCATGGCCTCCCCTGAAGTGCTGTGACTCGGACTCGCAGGCATACAGGCATTGCCAAGCTTTGCGAACCCACAGCCCAGCTCCACTGCACTTCGGGCCTGGGCCTCCTGTAGGCCTTTGAACTCAGTGCGCACCCCACGGGGCAACTCCTGAGTGTCGGGCCTGGCGACGCCAGAGCTGGAGCAGGCCTTACTCAAGCCCTCGTCGGTGAGCCCACCGCTCCATCCCAGGCGATGCAGTTTTCCTGGCTCAGAGAAGCAACACATCCGCTGCTGGGTGGCGAGACGCCCGGGGCCTGTGGTACCCAGCGTCGCCGTCGAGATGCGCACTGGCTCGGCATCCTGGATCCGGTGGCTGAGCGAGGCTGAGCGCAGGTGCACCGCGGGATGCCGGAGGCGGGCGGGCAGGCTCATGCGGAGTTCCTTCCGCTGGAAGGATGTCTCCCGCAGCACTCGCCGCTGCGCGCCCTGCAGCCGTTGGCGGTAGGCGGCCCGCGACGCAGGTGGGCTGGGCGGCTCTGAAGTTCGAGCCGCGGCCTCAGCCTCCGCCGCCAGCGCGTACAGCAGCGGGGTGGCCTGTCTGCTGAGTGGTGCAGAGCTTCCCTGGACCTCTGACGGCCGCGGCTCACTGCGCACAGCGAGGGCTGGCCGGGGCCGCTGGGTGATGCGCAGGACGTCATTGTGCGGGGTAGTGGACCCGCCGCCCCAAACCACGCGCACATAATCCCAGTCTAGGTAAGGAAGGAGCTCGGTGCCAGGAGATGGTGTGCGCGTCTCAGGGCCACCAGATGCCGCGGAGAACGAGCTGTAGGCCGAGTCAGCACGTGTGGACAGCCGGCGCAAGTCCAGGCTTCCAGTGGATGAGGCTGGGGAGGCGTGGTCGCCCCCAGCACCCAGGGCCTCCATGGCGGCGCAGTTGGGGACTAGGGCTGGTGCGCCTCCGTGACTCCTGGAAAAAGACAGTTGGAGCCCTGGGTGGTGAGGTGTTGGAGGAAGGTTAGGAAACTCTGCTAGTTCCTCTACCACGGAGAACCAGAGGCTTACAGGGTCCCCTTCTTGTCACACACTCCTTAGCTGTGACATCATCCTCTAGTCATTTTGGCAAAGAAACCTTGGGGTCAAGATGGCATGGGCAGTAGGACCAGTTATAGAGAGCAGTTCTGGCAGGTGGGAGCCTCAGTCCTGAGCCAACTGGAGCAGTCCCTGCCAGGGCTTCTCTGGCTGCACCAGTACCCTGGCACCTCCCACAGTGCTGCGAACATGGGCATGCTCAAATCCCACACCTGGCTCCACCAGGGCCAAGAACCAGCGACTAGACTGGTCACAGGCCATAGGGGAGAACCTATGACTATTATCTGCTAAATGGATATAGTATTATTAACCTGACTCCTAATGACTTGTCCTTGTGCTCCTAGTTTAGTGCATCTCTCAACTCTCAACAGAGAAACTTCTTGTGGCAGATGGTGATTAATTAACACAGAGACCCACAACTGGTCAACCTGCAGAAAATAAGAGACCGCAAAGTGCTCAGCCCTAAAAAGGAGGCTCAGGGATCATTTGGAAGAAGAGACAGAAGGATTTTAAGAGTCAGAGACAGTGGACGAATACAAGGAAACCATATTTTCCAGACCCAACAGAGCACTTACACATATGAACCCACAGAGCTTGTGACAGCACACATAAGACCTGCACAAGCCTAAGTCAAACAAAAACAGAGACTGGAGTGGGGAGGTGGGCAAGAAGCCCCAGCCCTAGCTAAGGAACTATTAGCACCTGATAGCTGCTGGGAGACGGAGAATCAGGAGTCTTTTACCAGTATGACTAGGCTCCAGGGTATGAATGCACACCAAGAGTATTTGAGGGACAAATTAGACTAAATAGACCTTAAAAAAAATAACAGAGGGGGTTTATTGCTCTTGCAGAGGACCTCGGTTCGAATCCCAGCACCCACATGGCAGCTAACACCTGTTTGTAACTCCAGTTCCAGGGGATCTGATGCTCTCTTCTGACCGCCTCTGTTTTTGCACAACACAGGTGCACTTACATATATGCAGGCAATATACTCATACACATAAAATAAAACATAAAATAAATAATAGAGGATGTGAAGTGAAGGGGTTAGGAGGTTGGGGGGAATCTGAGAGGAGATGGGTAAGGGGGTCTGAATATGGCCAAAATACATTGTATGAAATTCTCAAAGAATCAATTAAAAATATTACTTAAAAAAAAACAGGGCTGGAGAGATGGCTCAGCAGTTAAGAGCACTGACTGCTCTTGCAGAGGGCCCGGGTTTGATTCCCAGTATCCATTTGGTGGCTACGAACCATCCTTAACTCCAGTTCCAGGGGAATCTGAAGCCCTCTTCTGACCTCCGTGGCATTGCACGACCACGACACGTGTGCACTCACATACATGCAGGCAATACACTTACACACGAGATAAAAATAATAAATAAGGCTGGGCGTGGTGGCACACGCTTTTAATCCCAGCACTCAGGAGGCAGAGGCAGGCAGATCTCTGTGAGTTCAAGGCCAGCCTGGTCTACATAGTGAGTTCCAGGACAGCTGGGGCTACAGGGAGACCCTGTCTCAAAAAGACCAAATAAATAAATAAAATATTAAAAAAAAAAAAAAAGAATCACACCCAGGCTGCTTCCTGACCACTCTGCTAGCATCTCATGGTGATTGTTCCCTGATAAACAATGGTCAGGAATGCTTTGAGATCACAGACGGGCCACAAGAGGAAGGGAGGAGACCTAGGGCAGAGGCAGGGGTAACTTCACTCTGTCCCTCCTTCCGTGCCTTTTATGCCCCAGATACATCATATTTTTGTTTTGTTTTGTTTTGGTTTTTTTTGATACAGGGTCTCCCTGTAGCCCCAGCTGGCCTGGAACTCACTGCATAGACCAGACTGGCCTTGAACTCACAGAGATCTGCCTGCCTCTGTCCCCCAAGTGCTGGGTTTAAAGGCATGCACCACCATGTCCGGCCAGGTGCATCATTCACCACCACCATGTGTGTTAAAAAATTGTCTCTGTGACAAAATGACCCCCCAAAATTATTTGTATTTTTTATGTGCGTAGTGTTTTGTTTGCATGTATGCTAGTGCACCACATGCATGCAGTGTCCATGGAGGCCAGAGGAGGGCATCAGATCTCCTGAACTACAATAACAGATGATTGCTAGCCACCATGTGGGTGCTGGGAATCAAACCCTGGTCCTCTGCAAGAACAGCCGGCCATCTCTCTCTTTTTTTAAAATTATTTTTATTTTATGTGTATGAGTATAGTATTGCCTGCATGCATATAAGTGCACCCATGTCATACAGTGCCTGGGGAGGTCAGAAGAGGGCATCAGATCCCGTGGAACTGGAGTTACAGATGTTGTTGGCCACCATGTGGGTGCTGGGAATCGAACCCAGGTCCTATGGAAGAGCAGCCAGTGCTTTTAACCACTGAGCTATCGCTCTAGCCCCCGCCCCCTTTTTTGAGACAGGGTCTCCCTGTAGCCTCGGCTAGCCGAGAACTCATTATGTAGACCAGGCTGGCCTTGAACTCACAGAGATTCACCTGTTTCTGCCTCTGCCTCCCAAGTGCTGGGACTAAAGGTGTGTGCTTCCACACCCGGCATCAGCCAGCCATCTCTTAACCACTGATCTGTCTCTCCAGCCCCACCACGTATTTTTTACAGACTGGAACCCTACACTTCTGAGGAGGAAGTGGTTGACCCAGATGCACATACAGCTCATAAGTGGTAGAGTCCTGGCTGGAATCTGGGCATGCCTCCAAGCTCACTGCAGCCAAAATCAATTTCCTAGAGGCAAACCCTGCCCAAGGACAGTTTGCCATGTTCCCTCCCCCAAAACAAAGCCCAAACTCTGTGTGGGAAAGAAGTTGCTGTTATGTTAAGTGCTGACAAGCTATTGACAAGTTCCAGAACAACACGCAGCCTGTTCCTCATCTCCTTTTGTCTGGGACTGATCAGTTGACACCCTCACTTGCTCTTGTTTCTCCTAGAGGACTCTAGAGATCCCCACAGCGTCATCCATCTTCACAGCACTCACCCCCTTGCTCTGAAATTGCTTGCTTGCTTGCTCTTCTCTCATTTCCACCCCTGAGCTTCCCGAGGACAGGCCCTGCCCTTGTTCGTCACTCAGTGCCTGGCACCAGCCGTGACATGTAGTCAGTGTCAAATAAATATTTGCTGAGGGGCAAGAGAAGGGACAGGAGTGCAGGCAGTAGATGTAGGGGTAGCCTTGGCAGAGAGGGAAGAGGGCGCTGTGAGTTTTGCCCACTCTTCTCTCTGCCTTGTTGGTCTTGTCCCCTGTTAGGCGACAGAATGGGTGAGGAGGCCATTGCTGCTATGGATGTGACCAGGTTACTCATGCATTGTACAAAAGAAACTAAGCCTGCAGGCACAGCAGGACAGACTGGAAATTGATAGCTCCCCAGTGTCAGGAGGGAGAGCAAAGGGAAACACTGAGTGGCTGTGCTAGGTCTGGCTGAGAGTATCCTTGAGGTTTAGGGGTCTATGGCTACCATTGGAGTTTGTCTTCCTTGACCTAGGAGCAGAGATTGGGGTGGTACCCAGCTAGGCTGTGGTCCAAAGGCAGGCACATCTGAGCTCCCCAGACACTTTGGAATTCAGGGTCACCCTTCACCCTCTTCTCTGAGGCACAGGGCTCTACAGATTGCTGGAGGTCAGGTGGGGAGGGTAAAAAGAGGGGAAGTGTCTGCACTATTCTGGGGCAAGCACCCCTTCACTAGTCCTGGGACCAGAGCATCTTGGTGTCACCCCACTGGGTGCCTCTTCATGCCCACTAAGCCCCAGTCCTGCTGATTAGTCTTCACACTCCAGTTTGGGAATGTCTTATGTGAAGCTCCACTCTCTAGACTTCAGGAGCGCAAGACGTTACTCCAAGTGGCAAGTCCCAAGAGTCACCTCTTAAGAAGTCTGCCCTGGCTGCTCAGACACAGGCTCTGTCCTTTCCTAATCTTTCTTTTATTTATGTGTACGTGTGTGTGTGTGTGTGTGTGTATGTTATGCACCCGTGGGGGGGTGGTATATGCATGGGGAGGTCAGTCTAACATCTTCCTCAACCTCAGTCACTCTCCACCCTACTTTCTGAGACAGGATCTCTCACTGAAACAAGCTCATTGATTTGGCTAGGTTGACTGGTAATGAGTTCCAGGGATCTGCCTGGCTCTGCCCCCCCGAGGGACACAGCACCCCATCTTTTATGTGGGTACTGGGGTTCCAAACTCAGGTCCGTCCTCATGTTTGCTCAGAAGGTGCTCTGTTGACAAACCATCTTCCCAGCTCCTCTTCCTGGTCTTTCTAAGTCTGGCTCATGGGCTGGCATACCACCCATGCCTGCCCCTGCCAGTTTGCCAAAAGGCAGAGGTGATGGAATACAAAGATACTTCCTCAAATGAGACCATAAGGACTAGAGAGATGGCTCAAAAGGTAAAGGTTCTTGGTGGGAGGAGGGAATCGACTCCTGCAAATTGTCCTTTAACCTCCATATGTACATCATGGCATGTACATGCAAATAAATGAGTAAGTAAATAAATAATGTTTTTAATAAAAAGAAGTCATGAAGCCGGGCATGGTGGCACACACGTTTAATGCCAGCACTCTGTGAGTCAGCCTGGTCTCCATAATGAGTTTCAGGCCTGCTGGGGCTACAGCAAGACCCTGTCTCAAAAAGACCAAAAAAAAAAAAAAAAAAAAAAAAACCAAAAAAATCATGAAATTTATCTTATTCATGAGTTACTGTGTTAACAAAAAATTCTGAAATCTCCAGATAAAAACAGTTTAAGGGCCAGGAAGATGGCTTATTGGATACAACTGCTTGCTGTACAAACCTGACAATTTGAGTTTGATCCCCAGAACTCCCGTAAAAAGCTGATGATGTAGGAATGCACATCTGTAATACCAGCACACGTACTGTGAGATGGGAGGTGAACACAGGAGACTTGGCTGGAAGCTCTAGGGCCAGGTAATCTGGAGCACACTGCAGAAACCAGAGCAATCCTGCCTAAAGAAGGGGGAAGGAGAGAACCAACTCCCAAAAATTGTCCTGGACCTTCACAAGCACACTGTGGCATGCACACACCCAAACATACAAATATACACCCACACATACTAAATACATAAAGTAAAAATAACTTGAATGGACAATAAAAATGTGCACACACATCTGTTTGCTTATCGGCTCTGACCTGTCTCAAGGACACTTTTGCATGGGTGGTTCAGCAGGTTGATGTCCACACAGGACTCTCATATTGTGCCTTTTGTAGAACCTGCTATGCCACAAGGACCCTGGTACACTTTGGGGCTTGAGAACGAACAGCAAAGAATCTTCACACTTGTTCCCCAAGTAGAGGTTGTAGCATGAAGTCCCTGCTAGAAAACCACCAGATTGGGGGCAGGGACTTGTCATCTGCACAAGAAAGCAGGAGAGGAAGGAAAAAATGCTGTGTTCAGGGTTCAGAGCTGGGGCTCCTGACGGTGGAGACATCAGACCAGAAGAAGGAGGCCAGGGTTGGAGACTGCACAAGCCATCCAGTGTTCATTCAGTCTGGAGCCTGTGGGCTTTTCTGTGGCCACGGTGGTCAGGATGTGGGTTTGGTGGTCCGAAGAGGTGGACCCAGGCAAGTTTAGTCAAAGCTTATTGGGAAATTTGGCGAAGACAGTTTCCAGTGCTTAAAACCACATGAAGGCAATGCATGCTCGTCTAAAAGAGGTGGACCCAGGCAAGTTTAGTCAAAGCTTATTGGGAAATTTGGTGAAGACAGTTTCCAGTGCTTAAAACCACATGAAGGCAATGCATGCTCGTCTA